TCGCTAGTTACCTTAAAACATATTTTTTATTGCAAACTATTTCACAACATTTCATTTGATCCTATTAAACGTACATAATTGAAAACGGTTTACGAAAGACTACATTTACAAAAAAAACGCGCGAAAAACAAAATCTTTGCGGCCAGCCAGCAACTAATAGACAAACAAGATCCTAATCACATTAAACCTCTTTTTACCAACTTTTTTTTTATTTTATTCATAAAAGCCAAAGGCACGCGCTTTACGTTCACAGGAGCGTTCTAATTTTGAAATTTAAACTTTGTTTTATCATTCTGTAACAGAATTTCATAATTAATTTTAGGGTTTTGATATTATTCGTTATTAAAATTTTGTAAAGCTGTTTACGTCCCGCTTTAAAAACACCCACTCTTCGTTCTTAGTACTAATTGTCGGTATAATTTGAAAGCAAGGATATCTATTAACATTTTCTCTCTAATTAAGCAAATTGAAAAGGTATTTAAATGACAAGATAAGGAAACCTACGCGTTTTCATCATTAGATGACATAATTAATGTTCCGATGTTTCTATGGGTAGTTTCAATGAAACTTTATTTATACGAAATTATTATCTCCATTCATGTCCCTTTAGAAATGAGAACCAATTTATTTTGCAATATCTGTAGATGTGTTTACTATTTACTTCTAAATCATATTTTATGCTTCGTTGGCGGAGTGGTCGTAATTGCGACTGCCGGGTAATTGGTCTCGCGTTCGATTCCCGGGTTGGGCAAAGTATTACTGGGTTTTTTTATAAATTCTCAGGAGTAGCACGGAGTCTGGATTTGTGCCCGGTATATGGCAATAGGCTCACCCCCTATTACATGGGACTCATAACATAAATAGTGAAAAGTGGGTGTTACATTGTACAATGACATTAAATGCCGCAATGTGCACCTCTGCCTACTCCTTTGGGGATAAAAGGCGTAATATTATGTTATGTTATTTTTTTTGTTTATTCGTATTTAGACAAGCACCAAATACTGAACTAGAGATCTTGGTTACAATAGCTAGTATGTTACCTGCCACTTTTTAATTATAATCATCAATTATGGCTCAAAAATAAACATTAACACAACATAATTATTGTCACCAAAATTATACCAACCTCATGCAAAATTATTATTTTATTATTACATTTCATACAACACAACACTCAGTAAATTTCCTTCCCTCCGCTTTAAAGTGGCGTAATTTAATTAAAATATACATCTATAGCCCTCGAACCACCATCAAGGCGTGTAAACAACCTTTAACAGTCAAAATATAATCTTTCACACACACATGTGTGACAAACTTAAAGTCCAATTACACTCCCCTAGAATCCCGTAAATTGAATGCGAATTATACAAATTGTATAAACAATAATTCAGTAACACATGGCTCAAGGAAACACGCCTTAATTAAGTAATAACGCCTGATTTAATATTTAGGTTTAGCTATATTAGGAACTTAGGAAGTTTAGTTGTTCGTGAAGTCTAGTTTCCAGTTGTGAGTTCGAGGCAGTTTTGTAGTGATATCGTGTTGAGTAAATAAGTTAGTATCATGGTTGTTCTATGTTGAGAGAATAGAAACTTCTAATCTAGTAAGATAATTTTATTAGATATTTGATGATAAATGTCAACTTTATTTAAAAAAAAATGTTAATTTCATTTATCAAATGTTGCTGTGCCCTTACGGGGTCCATAAATGTATCTTAGCTTTAAGCGTATTGTAACACCTCATTCACATTATGGTATGCAAATAAATGAATATGAATAGTCTTTGAATGAATTCGAGTTCAAAGGCTATTATTATCTTACAACATTTTTCATACTGCCTCTTTGGCCAAGTGGGCGCAAGTACAGCTGCTGATCAAGAGTATGAGCTAGTCGCGCAAAGTATTACTGGGTTTTTAAAAATCTCAGTAGTAGCACGGAGTCTGGTAATGTGCCCAGTATATGGCAATAAGCTCACCTCTATTACATGAGACTCATAACATAAATAGTGAAAAGTGGGTGTCACATTGTCATATGGTATTAAGTGCCGTAATGTGCACCACTGCCTACCCTTTCGGGGATAAGGCGTTATGTTATGTTATGTAACATTTTTCATTAAAAATTCAAGAGATACTGGCATAGGCATTTAGCCTCGTATGTTATTCTATGGGTTGTTATTATATATAGGTACTCTGGTTTTTAATCTGTAACCCTTAGATTTTTTTAAATATTTTACACAGTATCTATGCTCCGTTCAGATTTAAAGTCAACGATTTTTTGCTCATCAATTTTGTAGTCTTTATCGGCGTCACTCATGGATACCTGGAACACCAGAGGCGTTACAAGTGCGTTACCGGCCTTTTGGGGATTAGGAATTTGAGGATTCAGGGATTAGGGAGAGTTCAGGAGGTAGGCCTCCGGCAACCTCAATCACACGACGAAGCACAACGCAAGCGTTGTTTCACGTCGGTTTTCTGTGAGGCCGTGGTATCACTCCGGTCAAGCCGGCTCTTGGTTTTTCACACAATTTTGATAAGCAACACAAAACGATCACGGATATCGATAAGTATTTATCTATAGTCTAGACTAAAATACAAAAATAACTATTTAATATAAACAGACACTCAACACTTCATTGAACCGGTTCAAATTTAGTTGAATAGGGGGTCCGTATACATTCGATGTTCGTATTCAAATGAATGTAAATTCGCGTATTAACAGATGTTTAACGAACTAAAACGTCGTGTGTCAGTATGAGCCGGAATTAGGTGCGAATTGAGTTTGGCATCAATATTATTTAGTCTTAATTAGAATTGAGGTGACTAAACAATGTTTTAAAGTACCTAAGCATTCATTGTTTAGTATCATAGAGGTAGTTTATTTCAAACAGTCGACGACCATAAGTTAATTAAATGATGACGTATCTACCTCTAATATTATACGTATAACTAGCTGACCCGGCAAACGTTATTTTGGCATATAAAAAGCACAAAAAATTACATCAAAATCGGTCAAGCCGTTTCGAGAATTTTATATATTAGATAAAATCATAGAAAAATCAAAACTATACATCGAATATTTTTTAAAAAGAGTTCTTGGATTGTAATCTGCAATCGACACCAAAGGCAAAAATATGGTTTTTAGAATTTTTATCTGTTTGTCTATAATATGTCCGGGATGATCTCAAAAAGTACTGCATGGATTTAGTTCAAATTTAGCATGAATATTACTAACAATTCGGTCAACATATAGGCTACATATTATTACGCTATCATCTACGGGAGAAGAGCCTTGTACTAGGTACTGAATCAATTCTGACGACATTCGTTACCATACCAAAGAAATGTTCTCGATCTTACAACTAAATATAATGTGGTGGAATATTTCGTTGAAAATACGCTGCGAGCGTGATACAATTCTATGAATGAAATATAAATAGGTAATAACAATGTATGTTTACCATTCGAAGTACGTTAGAGACAAGATAATAGACATAATTAATGTTTATAATTATTTACGTTCCAGGCCGTTTAACTTAGGTAAGAACTTCTATGATAAACTTTATCGAATGAATGACGTGGATATTCAAGTGGGTGGTGGAACCGGAAAAAAGGTCAGCTATTTTGATAACACTATGTATTATATATTACGTATAATTATGTAATACATTAGATCATAATTATAGTATCCTCAATTTGTTGTTTTGGGTCTGGGGGATTTCTTTTTGTTTAATCATATGTTTGGATGCATTTACGACACAGAAGAAAATCCCTGAATGGGGCAAAGTTCCTTTTGTAAAAAAAGCAAAATTAAGTATCATATCCTATTTACTCTTAATTGAGATAAATAGACATCTATAATGGTAAAAACCACAAACTTAGTATTATTTACGTAGCTAAACATATCATTTATTGACTATCTTAGAAATTCATATTCAAAATTAAGGAAGAAGTTTAATACCAATTATATATACCTATACTCTTATGACATACCGAATCTAACATTTTCTTAGAATTTATACTTTAAAAGTTAACAAGAAGAGATATACTTTTACAAAAATCTTTATATGAAACCCGGCCAATTTCGTACCGCCTACAATGTTTTTTCTCACCTTCCTGTTGGACTTTCAAGAACATTTCAAGATCAAAATGAGCCAAATTGGTTCAGCCGTTCTCAAGTTTTAGCGAGACAAACTACGAGAATTCATTTTTATTTATATAGATAAACATTTAGTACTTCATTTTATCTATGTGAGTCTTTGAACTAAATAGCTTGTTAACCCTAAAACAACTACTAGTTAGACCTAACTAGTCTTATCTAAGTCTACATTCATCATAATTATCGTGAATCTGAACTTTCCCGCCGCGTGAGTCACTGTTATTTACTACTACAAACCATAATATTACCATAGAAAGGAAACTATGAGCACAAGAAGAATGTGAAGAAAATCATTATTTTATGTCCACAAAAATCAATATTTGCTGTCGTAACACCAGAGTAGAATACATTTTAGCGCTACTCATACTATGAACTGCCTAGATTAAGTGTGGAATATATATAGATTTATAGTTTGTGTTTACTAATCCAAATGTTTTGTCCCTTCCAGTTTTACTAACAACTACCAGAAAGTTAAAGTTCGATGTTGCATTAACTGCCGTCACCACTCGACACTGGCAGTATAGTCAACAACATCGTATTGGAGACTCGGTTGCCAAAGAAGAAAAAAAAAAGTGTGGAATAGAAACCCTTGTTTTGTAGAAAATACTCTAGGAGTATGAAGATCCGTGGGGGCTCCGGGGCTGGTCTACTAAGAGGACCCCGTGCGTCCTTGAGCTGCGAAAGGTGGCCACCGGGGAGGTTTTAGTGAGGTAAAAAACCCACACTCCCTAGTCTTTTTCCCCAAAAAGCTTGGCGCCTTTTGAAGGTGAACCAATGACTAGCAACCTTGCTATTGACGATAATTTTAGAATAATCAAAAGAAAAAAGAAAACAAAGTACACTCACCTCAAATTTATATCTCTGTGATACAGCTACAAGGATCTCCATCCGATCCGTCAGCGATATACTGTCTAAATGTTTCTCCAGGTACAGCAGATTTGGTTGCTTACTGCAGTTCACGTACAAGTCCGCAGTATCATCATGGACATACATCACTATTTTGATCCAATTATCTTTATAATTCTCATTGAATAAGTAATATATTGATTCGCTTGGTGTATATAATTCGGTTCTGAGTGTGATTCTTGAAACATTCTTTCCAGCTGGTTGTAAACATAAGCTCAAAACGATAACATCATTTTGTTTTATAGAAAATACGCAGAAGGATTTGCTTGTATATGACTTGAACGTTGATGATACAAGGAATGGAGGTGCCAGTGTTGTGCCTATAAGGTCCGTGGTAGTGGAATCAACTGGAAATGCCTCACCGCTAACAAATTTATATGAGAAGCTACCAGGTGTGTACGATTCATCAACTATTTCGGTATCTGCTGGTGGCTGGAGCAATGTGTATTTTGTATCTGTAAAAAAAAATTTAAAAAATCAAATAACAATTAATCATAGGCCTACATGTAGTAGTCGTCAACTTGTGGTTAAGAATTGTGATGAGAGAACAAGTAAAATTTATAATTGGGTAACTGAATAGTGCCTACGTAAAAATATTCACCAGTTTTAGTTTTATGATAAGTGAAGCATAATCTAAAGGCATAGAAAAGCTACCACAACATTGATATATTTTATTTCGTTAATATTAATATGCAATAGGAATAATGCAATTTTATGAATATCGTATTACATTTTTTATGGGCAACTTGAATGGAACATTATACTTTAACTTTATACATTTAAACATCTTAGTTAACACAAAATTCTTATCTATGTCTATTTGTCAAAGTGGAAGCTAACAAATAGCTAAGTTAGTAACACCCCATCTACTAAGTCGTGCCTCGTTTGAATGGACGACAAAATAAGTCGGTCGGTGAGCGAGTAAAATTTTTAAGAAAGTTTAAAACATATTTTTTTTGCAATAGTGATTTTCAAATACATACCAATTTATGACAATGATAATAATAACAAATTATGGTTTTAATCATTATTTTTGCTGAACTGTGTACAGTCATAGTTGAAAACTGTTAATACTATTTGTATGGTAATTGGACCTATTACGTACTGAAACATACATAACATAACTTTTTCACTAGCTCGTTGGCCGAGTGGTCACAAGTGCGACTGGCGGACAAGGGGTCTCGGGTTCGATTCCCGGGTAGGGCAAAGTATTTCGGGGTTTTTAAAAAAAATCTCAGTAGTTACACAGAGTCTGGAATTGTGTCCGGTATATGGCAATAGGCTCACCCCCTATTACACGAGACTCATAACATAAATAGTGAAAAGTGGATGTTACATTGTACAGTGGCATAATGTGCACCTCTGGCTACCCCTTCGGGGATAAAAGTCATGATGTTATATATGTCATTAATACCGGCCGTAAAAGAATAAAACAACTGACTCGACCGTCGAATCGTTCAAACAGAGCACAAAAGACGCTACCGTATAACAGGCTGGTGTTTACACCCTAATCTTGATGAAGCACTAATGGTGACCGTCACGGGAGCTTTTTGGTGGCGTTCGGTATTAATAGGATCTTAGTCACCTCACTATTTGTGTATTTAAACGAGTATAAGGTGTAAAGTATCTTAAATAAGGTCCATTATATTATAGCAGGTCTTCTCCTTTAAACTTAGTCACAAGGACTTGATGATTAAGTTCTTAAGTTTAGTGTACTAAAGTTTATATTCTTTTTATTTTAATTTTCTACAGTGACAATATTAATTATTATCTATGATATTATGTTAAGACTTAAGAAAATTAATGAAGAAACTTTACATAAAATAGTCAAAAATATTAATGAAAAAAAAAGTCCAGGGCACGACAAAATAAGGGCAACAGACATTAAATACGTATCTGACAAATTGACCCCAGTGCTAACTCACTTAATTAACACCTGTATTACTCGATCAATATATCCAGATAGGCTAAAGATAGGTCTCATTAGGCCGATACATAAAAAGGGTAAACATGATGATACAAATAATTATAGACCAATAACAATACTATCATGTATAAATAAAATAATTGAAAAATACTTTGGGAATTTAATAAATAACTTTCTTACGAGTAACAACATTCTGCATGAAAAACAGTACGGATTTCAAAGAAATAAAAGTACTTCTCAGTTACTGGCAACTTTTTCAGATGAAATAAATAAGCACTTAGATAATAGGAACCATGTTTTAGCTGTTATGGTTGATTTTAGCAAAGCGTTTGATACATTAAATTTTGAAAAACTGTACCAAAAAATGGAACAAAATGGTATACAGGGACCAATGTTGGAATTGCTTAAAAATTATCATACAAATAGATATAATGCTGTAAGTATAGCCGGGGAGCAGAGCGACCAAATACGAACACAATATGGCACGGCCCAAGGATCGGTACTAGGACCGACAGAATATCTATTGTACGTAAATGATATGTGTAATGTATTCCAGCATGTCTCGGTGTACCAATTTGCCGATGATACGTGCTTGATCTCTGCTCATAAAGACATTATCAAGGCGCAAAGTATGATGCAGGACGATTTTGATACATTGTGCAAATGGGCTCATGATCTAGGATTATCAATTAATTATAGTAAAACTAAATTAATATATACACTCGCCTTACAAAAAAGCAGCTTCATTGCCGATGATCGTCGCCCATGAGCACAGTTGTATGCATATAAACAATAATGCTTGTAAGTGTGGGAAGCTTGAAATCGTGAAAGAACACACCTACCTTGGACTAATAATAGATCATAAGTTTAACTGGAGATCACATGTTAACCTAATATGTAACAAGTTAAGAGCAATTTTGTCAAAACTATGTGTGCTCAAACATAAAGTGCCATATAGAACACTGAGACTTATGTATATGTCTTTAGCTGATTCGGTCATAAGTTATGGCTTAACTAGCTATGGAAGAACGTATAAAACATATCTAAATGATATATATAATTTGCAAATTAGAATTTTAAAAACAATTGTTCCTCTAAAAGTTAAATTCAAGAACAAAGATAACTATCACAACTTGTTTCATTATTGCAAGGTTTTGAGTATATTTGATAAGAGAGATTTAGCAATTGTAACTCAGTACAGTAGTGACATGTGTAAATTGAATACAACAAAAAGATTAAACACATTACGTAAACTAGACTATCTCCCTACCTTTGAAATACCAAAATGTCATAACGATTATGGTGAGAGAGTATGGAATGTCAGTCTTGCCCGAATACTAAACAAGTTGCCAAAACACATAATTTGTAAACTGGAAAACAAAAATAAAAGGCAGACCTATAACATATTCAAGCGACATTTAATGAATTGTAATGAAATAGCAACTCCTTAACTGTACAATCTTTTCTATTTAAGTTTAAGATTAAGTTAAGATTTGTATAAAACTGTATTTTATGAGAAATAAACAGCTTTTTATTAAAAAAAAAAAATGTAAATCTAATAATGTCATTTTTTCATAGTGAAAGTGTTTCACGTGTGTATAACTACGTATGAATATTAAAAAATATAATTACCAAATGCATTTGCTGTATTTAATACGATGTATGTTGTTATAGCAATATATCTGAAACAAAAGAAGAAGTAATTAATATTTTATTTACACAAACACAAAATTGTAATGTATAAAGATTTTAAATATTTGTACGCCAAAATAATTTTAAATAATTGTACGCCAAAATGGCATAACATGTAGCTCATTCTCCTAACTTAACACCATTGCATGTACTCTTGTAATATTACTCAAGATAATGCAAATAAAAAATATCTTTATTAGCTTTATCTTTAAAAATACTTAGTATAGTACATTTTAGGTTGAAAAACGATCACTTGTCAACTATAATATATGCCTGATAACTTATTCACAATTTCATTCCGATACGTTCAACCCTATAGACATTATTGAACAATTTGAACATTAAACACAATATACCCTTCACATAAAAATAGTAAAAATCAACGTCAGTCACGCAGACATGTTTCAACCAACTAATTTAAAACGACTTTTACAGAACCCATTTCAAATAAACTGGAATTAGCTACCATCCATTCAGGAAGCAACTCTAAATACTCACATTCACACTGTTAACCTTTTAGTACGACAGTTGACACTTAGTCTGATCCCTAAAGGAATGAAAAATGGGGGTGAAAAGTTCTGGAATTGAAATAGTTTGTGGTTCCAAAGCGATTGCTTGGGTACACTCGATGTCAGCGTTTTAGGATGGAAGTCTTTCGTTTAAGTTGATGCCAGGGGTTGGCTTTCGACTTTGATAGCGATTTTTGGTGTTCTATTTTCTTTGCAATGCTCACGTTGGTTTAATATAATGTTTACGTTCTTTGATGAGTTTTGAGTCAAGAGGAAAATTGACGCGTAGACATAAACATTTCTTTAACATTACATTGATACAAATAATCGTTAAAACACAAAATAATTCTAGCTTGTATCTTACTACAGCTCTTCTACACAATATTAACTTTGTGAAAAGTTTAACACCTACGCGATATTAGGTTTATTTCGTAGTTGGAGTAATATTTCGAGATTTCTCTCAGGTATTCTAGACTCATATCAATTGTAGATTGTCGTATGATGTCGTGGTGGCCCGGAGGGTTCAAAACCAACCAACGGCAAGTACCAATATGACTTTTTCCGAGATGTATGTACTCTCTAAGATTATTTAGACACCGCTGCCAAACGATGAAGGAAAACATCTTGAGGAAATCTGGGCTTATAATTTCTAATTATAAGTTTGTAATCGCCAACCCGCATCGAGCAAGCGTGGTGATTAATACTCAAACTTTCTCCGTGTGAGCAGAGGCTTTGCTCAGCAGTGGGCACTTATAGGCTGTTGATGATGATGATGATGACGATGATGATGATCAATCGTAGAGCCGTATCATACACAGCACCTTAGATATGATAATACTACCCTGTTTTTCTTAAACTAGAATTTGCGCTCAGAACTTGCGTTATAATGTAAAATTCAGACATACAGCCAGAAGCAAAACCTTCGCCTTAACAATACAATTCAAGTGACACGAACTGTAGTATATATAAGCTATATAACGGCTATAAATACGTGTCAGAACACAGCTGACGGGGCCACATAGCCGAGTCGGCTAGCGTGTCACGCAAAGGGTTTGGGGGTTTAGACCAAGACAAATGTGTTTATTTCGTCTAAGTACTAGAACAACGTCGCCTTAGTTGTTTGTTAAGACGGTCAGTACTTAGTAGGGGCAGAGAAGATAAATATGCGGGTCGGTTTACTAAGTTAGGCCATGAGCTTAGCTGCTTTTTCTGTTAAGGTAGGAGCTAAGACACTGCTAGTGTTTGATATTAGGTAGATTGTGTTTATTAAAGTTAGTATTAATATATTTTTTTAACGGGTGAAAATCGTCCAATGACTTCTACCGCCCGGGTAAGGCGAGTCTCTAGCCATATCTAACTAGGGTTGATGTCGATACGTAGCCAATGCCAGAAGCGATACACTCCCTGTGTAGACTCTTACTGACTAAAAACCATCCCGTTCCTACTCCTGAATTTCAAGCCGGAGCCCAGCTAACCCGTCAAGTCGTCCGCGACTTCGTAGTATTAACACTACAATAATGTGACGTTATACCATTATTGTTTTTTTATATATTTGATGGGCCCACGTTTGACCACCAACTATATCGCCTGGAAGGTTCATTGAAAGGTTAGGTTAAGTTAGATGCACTTAAACGTCTTCTGTTTGCTAGGTTTTCTAAGATTCTCAAGTAATAATTCGTAGGCTCAGGCTATTACTAAATTCCAGACAAAATGCTATCGCAACGTTTATTGCAAGATAGATAAAAATATATAATATACTTAGACAGATTTAAAAATAGTATTCTAATAACATTACTTGACTGTATGCAAAACAAAACTATAATCCTTGTTCATAAAAAAATCTACATAGATAATATTATTAAACTATGTAGATAACATACTTCACGAAATAATTGAACCAACCTAATTCGGAAAGCAATTCGAATAAATATACCAAACACCCACCTGTTCGATTGACGTTTAATGTCAATAAACACGTTTCTAATTGGCCTGTCTTAGATCTAGAAAGGTCTAAATAAATCGAGTCTATCCAGACACCTATAAATACTTAAAAAAAATGGGTCGATTTGTGGGAATGTTCACAAAAACACAGACAAAATAAATTGGTATATCGTGTTTCGTTAAAAAAATAGTTAAGTTCAATAGTCGTTTACGTCACCTTTAAAATAATTATTAAAATCCAATTCAAAATTAAAGAGTTTATATGTACCCATTATTTAATAAGGCAAGCAACTTTCAGTCTACATATCTTCATAACTCATCCATATTTCGGTCTAAAACTGCCTAACACAATAATTACATTTACGAATAAGTGTGTGACTACAAAATGAATCACGGGAAGTTTCCACCGTATTATCTAGTGCAAAGTATCCGAAAAAATGTACTGCTACATAGCTGTCAAAATGATATATTACATTCATACTATGAAAATTAAATAAGTGCTTTGATATTCAATGAATTTTTTGAAGCATTTTTGTGGAACAAAATTATGTTAATTGAAGGAAACAGATCTGTTTGTGGTCCTTTCTCTGTAAATATAATATTTTAATCATGTAATGTTATTCTGATTTAATTTTATAGATATAAAAGTAATTTTATTTTTCATTAAGCAACTTGTTACCTTGATGGAATACAGAGAAATCATATTGAAAACAAAATAGAGTTTCAGTATCAAATTCTTATAAAACCAAGAACAAAAGCTTAAATGGAATCTAAAACTTCGGATCTATTATTAATATCAAAACAAAGGGATTATACAATATCTGTACGAGGAATATATTCTAATAGTAAATGAATATACTATGAAAATCACCGGCGTATCAAACTACGCCGACATTCAATTAAGACGTGATACGAATGTCAAAATTACTAGCGCCGTCAAATGTCTTATCTTCAACCGAGTCGTTAGCGTTCATTTTAGTCAGCAGTGTATAATATCGTATTTCATACACAGACTAAAATTACTCTTTACAATCTTCTTCACAGACTGTGAATTTTCACGGAAAACTCTTTATGATATTTTACACTGTGACGCTACTGTCGATCTTAAAGACGTGTATTGACTTCTCTGTGGGTTTCTATTTTACTTATACATGAAATTGCTTTCATGTTGTATTAAATTAGATATTCGTATGAGGTTTGATGAGGGCTGTCGGGCAGGTATTAATTGAGGCGTGTGTAAGTATTTGTATGGATGACGTCACGACGTACGGTGTTCATTTCATTCAGTGTGCCGTCATAATTAATAGAATCGCGAGTAAGCTTTATTATCCCCGTATTTAGGGAACGTGCAGCGATTGAGGCTCTTTGTGTTGCTAAATTTGTATGTTCGTTATCACGTTTTGTATTAATGAGATCTTCAATAGAGAGGAAATATTATTTCAAGGGGTTGTAGTTAAGATTAAGGGAAGATGTTTTTGAAAAAAAAGTATGTTGATTTTGTATGTGTTACTAATATAATCATTTAACTAAATTTTACGTATCGTTAAAGTAGTGTTCGTAAACCAGTAATTAAACCACTTCAATAAAACCAGTCGAGAAATTAGTGCTAAACCAATCAAGCATTAATTTCTACAATATATAACTTTTCAAATAGTAGTTTTACTATTCGCATTTCATTAAGGCTGACCGAGATATCTGTATCTAAATAAACGTTTCAATTAATACCATTTTTATTACGTTCCAATTAGGATTTATTTCTGTAACCTAGAAATTATAATTAGTTACAAAAACCAACGAAAACCTAATTCACTAAAAAGAAGAACCAAGTCGTCATTACAATTTCATTCACGTTCCAAAAACGAGAAGACCAAACAAATCTTGGCTAGAAAAATAAATCTGAAGAACGGCGCTTTTTATTTTTATTTAAAATTACGCCTAAATCCAGGTTGAAAAAAGATCATTAAGTTCCACAAGAACAAACTAGAACAGACGTAACGAGTTTTGAATCAGAGCCTACCTGAATTTTTATTAGGCTTGATACCACTACTGCCTTAAATATTTACAAGCAAAGAAATATTACTCTCACAATCAAAGAAGCAACTAGTTTATAAAGAAAATGTTTGAAAACTTTTTTGAAGGTAAAGGAAACTAGATCTAGTTTCAAGCGAATGAAAAGTTTAAATTGCTTGCTAGTCAGTTGGTAATAATTTTGAAGGATTAAGAACTCGTTTTGATATGAAAAGTTTTGCTGGGTATGAGTTTTAAGTTGTTTGCTGTAATAATAATAGTAATTGTGATTTGTGATTCAAATTATTTAATTTAAACCAAGTAAAGAATGTTTTTTTTTATCTGCCGTTATTAGAGCCAACTTTTGTGTACAGAGGCCTTAGTACGTTGCGTGCTAATGCGTTCGGCACTCTGATTGGCCGGCATCAATAAAGCAACCAATCACAGCGCCGAACGCGTACTCGTTACGATTACTATAAACGTAAAACAAACTCGTAATAAGAATAACTCAGAATACGGTATTTGCCATCTAG